AAGAAGAAGAAAATTCCTATAAAAAGTGAAAGAACATCATCTTTTAATTAAGCAATGGCTTTGCTATTCTAGATTAGTAGTGAAAGAAGACTGTAATTGTGGTCTGAAAGTATTTTTGTTGTAGTAACAAAATTACTGACATTATTTCTTACTTTTTCCCCCTAGAAATTTTTGTTCTAAAAGAGAAAACTGAAGGGGGTTTTGTTAGTCTCCAATTACTGTTGTTAACCTCTTTAGTCTGACTTTCCCCAAATTTACTGTCAACAGCTACCATTTATTGATCACCTGCCATGTACCAGACATTCAGCTAGGGATTGGAGAAGTGTTATCTCATTTAGTTCTCATCACTGGGCTGCAAGATAGATGGTATTACTCTGTGTTAGAGATGAGGAGGGAAGAGAGTCTAAGAAAGTAATTGGATCAGAATCACACAGTTACTAAGTGGTAGCATGAGGGTTTGAGTCCAGGTCTTTCTGAATACTAAGTCCATCCCATTTCTATTACTCTGTGATACTTCTTGTTAAAGAAATGTATTAGAAAAGTTAGCCATTAAACCTCCTAATACTTAACCTCCTTTCCCAGTTTTTGCCCGGTTCTTGGTTTCCTAATTTGGGGTTCAAGAATATGCTTTAAATGGTATGCTGATTTGTATGTGTGTATGCATGTAGAAGATTAAATATTTTTTTCTCATATCTTAAAATTGGGTTGAAGTTCTGAGGTTGGCTTGACTGCCCTACCCTGTCCTTGGAGGAGTCAGGAGAGGGGGAGGGGGTGACAGGATGGGTGTGAATGCGCAAGTAGTGGCCAGCTGTGCCTAACCCTGGTGCTAGCAGTCAGCTGCCGCTGTGAGGCAGGAGGGTACTACCATTTATTGAGTCATACACTTTACATGTCTTATCTCATGTAATTCTCACAACAGCCTCTGTGGTGAGTGGTTTTAGCTCCAATTTATAGATGGTTGAACTGAGGCACAGAGAATTAAGCAAATTTGTCTAAGGTCACACAAGTAGAAAATGGAGGCATCAGCATTCCATTGACCATCGCAGGTTTATCTGACCCTAAACCTCACCATATTTCCCTTATAGCATGTTCTCATTTCTAATAACGATAATGTTTATTGAGCTCCTACTATGTGCCAGGGGGTTTCTTAACCACCTTACTGGATTATGTCATCTAATCCCTACAACATCCTGATGAGCCACACACTCATTATTTCCATTTTTTAGGTGAGTAAATTGAGGCAGAAAGTTGAAGTAACTTGTCCAGGATCAGAGAGCTAGAGAGTACCAAGTCGGGGTAGTCCCTACTCCGAGTCTACTTTCTTACAAAGCGTAGTTTCAAGAAGTTTCTGCCGACTAGAGCTACACTCTCTACTCTGCCCTCTCACCTTCCTTACCTGCACAATGAAAGTACAGGGGTTATTTAGAAAAGAACTTGTTTGCTTTTTTTTAGGTAACTATATTTAAGGGGGAAATACTTTTCTTTGAGGAATTACATACGAATATATTTAATAGTATAATATTTACTGCTCTAGGCCTGAGATCTAGCGGGGCTATTTAGGTAAGTACTGTTTACGATACTTGGCTATCATGAATGAAATAGTGATAATCTCTGCCTTCTTAGTCATTTTACTAAAGATAACAAAAACTCAACCTTTTAATGACCAGGGTGAAAGAATATCTCTTAACCCCAATCAGTTTTTCAGTTGAGATTCACCTTGATTCCTTTCCTCACACCCAGTAGCCTGCTGTTAAATGTAGGCTTGTGTTGCTTTGTTTTGGTCCGTACACGTTTGACTTAGCAAGCATGATGCGATTCTGAAGTGTCTGCCATTTGCCTTTGATTGTGAGGAAGCATATTCCCATGAAATGAAGTGACCTTCACAGCACACGATGCCAGTGCCTTACTCTGCTTCGTTCGCCAATATTAAGAGCATGGCAGCACTTCATGATGTAATTCTTTGGCTTGTATACAGCTTTATTGCAGGAAGGAAAGTGTTGCGTGCACTGAAATGATAATGATTCAAAACCCATATACCAATTGTTCTTTGGATTTTTTTCTTTCATCCTTTGCTACTGTTTATTTAACAGAACTCCTTTACAACCAAATGAAACTAAAGAATGAAGAAAGCTGGGTTTGACCCCAGCTTTGATGACTTTGGGTAACTTATTTAACCTCTCTGGGCCTCAGTTTCCTCCTCATGGAGATTAGAGATAATATATAATAAGCAACTAGTTCACAGCCTGGCACAGAGCAGATGTTCAATACAGAGAAGCTGCTATTATTATTATTATAAAATGCAAAGACGATCTTATGATGTAAAAGCTTGGGATTTGTTTTGTTATGGTACTGAATAGTGTTTCCCGGTGGACTTCTTTGTATTGTTTATGTGCAATCCAAGGAAAACAGAGGAATAGTGTTTGCAATAAGGAAAGATAGCTCTTTGTTCCCTTCAACAGACAAAAGAAGCTTATTATCGTATCAACTAGTGACTGTTGCTATTGAGATGGTTTATTTGTATGTTTTTTTTTTCTGTTTCTTTCCTAGGGATTTATTTGTGGCTTTTCAATAGCAACAGGTGCAGCAGCAAGACTAGTATCAGGATACGACAGCTATGGAAATATCTGTGGGCAGAAAAATGCAAAGTTGGAAGGAATACCAAACAGTGGCATGGACCATACCCAGCGGAAGTGAGTAGACTGTTGCTAAATGAAGAACACTGTGAAAACTTTGAAAGGGCCACAGAGAAAATCCTGCTTTTCTTTCTACTTTAAAGATATTTTTATATGATTCCTCTTAGTGTTTTTGATTTTTATTTTAACTGTACACTTGAATCATTCTTGGTTTTCTTGTTTTTTTGGTTTTTTGGTCTAGAAATACATTATTCGGGAAACAAAATTAGCTGCCATGTTAAAATGGATTTCCTTGAGGTTTTAATGGATAAAGACTTCATTTGAGAGGATTACTTTTGTACTCTGTTTTCCCATCATCCTTTAGGTTATACACTAAGTTTTAATCCAGAAAATAACATAATTTTTCTCCTAAGATTATACTTGATGGGAGACAGAGGAATGATAATGGATTTTGAAGCATTAAAGTTATAAAAAACATTTTGTGATGCATCATTTATAAGTACATATCAGTTTCCAATTTTATAAAAGATACATTTGCTTTGTCAGACTTTAAAATTTGCTTTGGGTTCTCAATATTCATCTTTTGGATTTTGTGAAATTCCTGACTTAATTGCCTTTCTTCCTCAAAAGAGCTATTATTTTGTTTTTAATGTCAATGGGTAAAATATATTTCATCTAGCATATTTCATATATGATGCCAATTATTTGTTTGAACTGTATATTTATTCCCCATCAAACTTTGTTAGACATTTCAAGTGTTGAACTAATTTTAAAGTAACAGATTGACCAATCCAATTAATGCACTTTATAGGAAAAGGCTAAGCATATAACATTTTTTAGATTATAGTACTTTTATAATGCATTTTCCAGGAAGATAACATGTAAAAACTATATTTATTATTATATAAATCTGTTGGTTAAATCTGGATCCCTACTGGAAAGTATAAGATTAATTTGATGATTTCACAAACTTGAAAAAATCCAAATAGTTAGTCATTCTCAGAGTTATTCCTTGCAGTAATGAAGATACGATAATGCAGTTCAAGAAAATAAAAATTTAAATAACAACAATGAATATTTGTGTAGCATTCTGTAGTCTATAAGCGTATGATACTACCCTGTGAGATAGGTGTGACAGAGGCTTAGAGAGATCGAAGTGACTTTCCCAGTGTCATATGACTGGCGGGCAGTAGAATATCCAGCTCAGAGTTTTTCTCTTGATACACATCTGCAGCCCTTGAGAGAAATGGAAATTGGACTGTTAGCAATTTGGAGGATTGTTTCATTTATTCTACTTTATGATTGTCTCATAAAATTAACACAGATTTTAGGCTGTATATTATTTTTTGTAGCAAGACTACTCATATCT